TGGCATCTGATATTTTCCCGCTAAATATTTCAAAAAGGAGCTTCTGTCATTTTTTGTGACATTTTATAAAATGGATAACAGTGTTCTAGAAAGCGTTCGCCTAGGCGGCATTTAGGGGCTAGGTCCTCTATAGATCGTGGCGATTACCGCTTTTGCCGTCTAAAATATTATGATAATAAAATAATATAAATTTTTGCACATATAAATCGTAAAATATTATATATTTGGCTTTCAAATATTGAATATAATATAATATAAATTTTGTTAGTTATAAATTATAGTTTTTTTTATATATATTTTATCATATATATAAAATATATTATGTATTTTTGTAAAACGCTTAGACCACCTATTAAATCGCCTAAGCTCCGATTAGGTGTTCTAGGCACTAGGCATTGGATCACCGCCCGCTTAGCGCCTAACGCTTTCTTGAATACACACTAACATCATAACAATCAGCACATTTAAAAGGGGAAAAACAAAAAAACAGCCACCAAATCAAGAAGAGCCCAAAACTCTAGAATTTTTTTGTTAAAGTAATACAATGTCTCTCTTTAATTATCCCTCTAAATTCTACTGTGTTTTAGGGTTTGATAGGAAAAAAACAACTAAATTCATTGTCTCTTCTTTTAATTTATCACAATATTTTCGAGTTGTATACTATAATTAAGCATGGGCGCGGATCGGATATCCGGAAAAATACAGTATTTGTGATTCGATTTGTTTTTGACGGATATCTAATTTTTCGATTTGCTTTGTTTCGGAAAATTTCGGATATCCGGGATGACGGATATCCAGATTTTTTCTAGATATTTGTGGATATCCGTTTCGCGGATATCTGTTTTAAACAAAAAATTTTTAAAACACCATAATATTTGTTCCAAAATTTTATTTTTAATATAAGATTTAAACTAATTAATCAATAAATATATGACATGAGTCTAATTTTATTCGTTAAATTGTTTAAAAAATAAAAAGTGAAAGATTAAAACGGTAAAAAATTGAATGTATTTTTTATTTAAGAAATATATTTTAAATAAAGTTAGTATCTATCTACTTTTACTATAAATATATTCGCCAAATATATTCAAAAGTAAAAAATGTAAATATACGTTATAAATCTACCATATTATATGTATGTATAAATAATATACGGAACGGATATTCGAATTTTTAAAATTAGTATTTGTGATTTGCTTCGGTTTTGACGGATACTAAATTTTATTATTTGCTTCGATTTGATTCAAAAAGGATATCCAATTTTTTCGGATCGGATCAAATTTAACGGAAAATTTGCCCAACCCTACAGTACTATAATGTCTTTAAATTTATTACTCGAAAGTTGAAAACCTTATGATCGTATTGAAAAGGTCAATGAAGTCAACAAAATTTATGCCAATTAAATGACTGCAGTCTCTTCGGGGTTGGTATTGGAGTGGATTAATTCATGCCCAGCCTTTACGTGAACTCAATTCACATCTTTTTTTTGGTACCCACATTTCATCACGCCCAAGCTAAGCAACTCATAAATTCTAATTAATTATCCTTCACTATCCTTAATTTAAGTTTAAGTTTAACAAAGATTGAACACCCGAACACCAACCATGAACTGAATTCAACCCAAACTTTAATCAAATCAATTGTGCTCTCTTCTTAGTACTACTTTTGACCAAAATTAATTCACCTCGTTCTTCTAACCAGAGGTCCAAAATGATATAGTTTGCT